ATATATATATATATATATATATATATAATATATATATATATATATAGATAATATATATAAGCTGTTGTATACATACCAGTGACCTTGGGTGCTTTGAGCTCCCATGACAAACCAGCCATGGCATCCACCGCATCTGCACCTCCTACCCCAATCGCAATTGTTCCCAGACCCCCCGCATTCGGTGTGTGCGAATCCGTACCTAGCATCAGCGTACCCGGCGCAGCGTAGTTCTCCAGAACAATCTGATGAATGATACCTATGGGATGGAGAGGGGGGTAGGGAGAATAGTTTTCAGGATTTAGGGTTTAGGCTTTAGTGTCAGGGGTTTTAGGCTATAGTATGGTGTTGGGTGTGTGCCAGTCTGTGCCCAGCATCAGTGTACTGGTCGAGTGTTCTACTGATATATGATACCTATGGCAGTGCGTCGAGGTATGTGAATATAGCCTAAATGTAGACCCCGAAAATTGTGTATAAAAACGGAAGCCAGTTGCCCATTGTCAATATAAGGCAGAACCCAATTCGTACCCCTCTATATACACACGTATGAGCTGCTGGCATGGAGCCATAGTCATGGTACAAATGATAGTGCGTACGTACAGATATGCCTATGTGTGTGCCTATAAACACAGAGTCGTGCCAAAATAATAAATTGGTAACAGGTATGTATTCAAATACATAGCCAGAGTTCCCATATCTTCTTCAGATTCGCAGCATCAACGATATCACGATAAACATATATGAGGCGGCATGCGAGATACTCATGGACATCAGACACTCGCTCCATTTACAGGTAGCAGTTGCGGTGCTTCACCTCAACACCAACCTGCGCAAAGACAATGTTACACACCACTTCCCACCACACTCAGAATAACATCATAAACCTTATAGCTTCATATTGCGCGATAAGTATACCTACCAGATCCAGGTTTCCAGAAGCCGATTCCGTATTTCTTAGCAGCAGAGCCCAAAAAGTCGTAGATTTCTCCACTTTCTTTATTTGACGTCGCGAGATCGGCCGCAGGTCCCTTCTCAGCCGCAATCAAGTGATCGCAATGGATCGACGAGTGCACTTTGGTCGTCTTAAGTCCTTTTAGAGTTGAGGTTTTAGGGTTTGGATTCAGGGTTCGAGGTTTATGTTAAGCGGAGTTTGGGGTGGTAACACAGCATACTGAGAACGGATATCAAACAATAAAGATGCCAGTGCTGTTCGAGGGCATCGAATGTAGTACTTGGGTGAAAGCAATACATAGCCCATTGTGTTTCTGTCGTATTGAAAACTACACACCCAAATAGCGCTTTTCAGATATTGAGAGTATGAAGGTAGATATAACATGAACCCGAAAGCAAATGTCTGAAACGTAACGTACATCAAGCTACCGCAGGCCACCAGAATGCAAGTATATGTACCCAAATACACTAAATGTCAATCTCACTCAAAACATGTTACACACACTGCAAACTCGGATTCGAATGCAAATACGGTCCATTCGATATCCACTATCAGGCGGCCCACATACAGATGTTGGAATACAAAGGCGCCACAATTCGCAGCGAAGGGGGGGCTGTAGGCAAGCATGTGTCTAGTATATGACGAAAGAAGACGCACCTGCACAATGCTATGAAATCCATAAAACTTGCACATAGTCGACGTATTGGTATGATGGGGACAGTATTCTGTATTGTGGATATACCTCAGAACAAGGCGGTACAACAACATCGTTGATCCTATAACTGTTAAATCTGTCACTGCCTCAACACAGTAGAGTCGCTGTTGTGCTGGCGAGTACTCGGCGTGACCAACAGAGCACCAAAACGATACAGACAGTATCTTGCACTAGCAGGTACCCTTCAGGCAGCCATCTCCCTTATATTCTAATGCCGGCCAGCACCAAGTGTGTTTGAATACACCTGTACATCGACACAAACAATACCACATACAATACAAACGCGGACTCAGCCTAATATTGGTGTGATTACAATATAGTCATCTGTGCACTGTTAATCTGCATCTCAACGTGTATGGTAGCACAGGCAGATTTGTACCTCTATCACTCCGCTAGTACCACCACAAACAACATGGAACAATGGGCACATCCCGAGCGACACGGACACCAGTCATACATACACTAGTAATCAAACCCGGTAAAATAAGTTGGCCCTGTTATCCTCACCTAGAAATCGGCTCCCGTCCCCACATACTGTACCAACCAGCCGCAAACACACAAGAGTTCGTAACAGTCGAACCCCTATGTAAACAGCCCCAAAATCACACACTCCCTAACCGACTCGCCACCGGATTCAACCTCGATAGGATACCATACACCAACATACCAGCCAACATGAACTGCAGCAGAGCCATCTGTGCGCTGGCATCTTGCATGGCTACTCGATCGGGTTTCAGGTGCAGGTAGGTCTCCCCGCGCGCAATGGGCTGAGTGGCATCCGTTAGATGAGAGTACACAATCTTCTCGGCCAAGGTCAGCTTATCGGCTGTACGCCCAGACGCCTCTCGGTACTGCGGAATGAGGTAGTGTATACATACACGCCGGAGTGTGAGCCTACATACTGATGTGTACATCATGTGTGTGTGGATATTCGCAGACTTGTGTGAGTGCACGCAGATTGTTTGGAGTGATCCGATGATGAACAACACAGGTTTTGGTATGGAGGACGCAGCCCCGACTAGGCATGGCAGCCGTCGCAGCACGCGCTACCTGTACATGCTACTGGATGTTCGAGTTAAAACACAACATCCAGTACACAGATAGTATTGTACATAACAGGCTGTACACTATCGCCTCCAAATTTATCATATACACATCGAGTCTTCAAGGGAAAGCAGTGGCTATGACTGAATCGTGAGTGATATGTTCGTAGAGCGCACTTTGCAGATAGGCTGCCCGCATCAAGGCTGTGGCGAATGCAGCAGAAGAGCTGGTACTGGTACGATGAGAAGCATCATACACATTTTTGTATATAGACTTGACCACAGGTCTACTATCAAACAGAAGTATACCGGGCCATGCATATGCATATGCATAAGCAATCCATCTAACATTTATGCGCCTATAAAATGTCTCTGCGTGGGGAAGTATGAATGTTGATTTCATAGACCGCACATGTGTGAAAATGCACACCCTTCACATATGCATATGCAATCCATCTGACATTTATGCGCCTATAAAATGTCTCTGCGAGGAGAAGTATGAATGTTGGTTTCATAGACCGCACATGTGTGAAAATACACACCCTTCACGTTATCTATATCCTAGGCATATGTCACATAACTAGCTGCCAGTTCGGTGACTCAGACTGAGACACTACCTAAAACATCGTGCAAATGCTAAATACAAACCACTTCTCGATCCGAATAGACAAATTGCAAAACACGTAATTAACACTCCAGGTAGGCTTGCAATGTATAGCAAGATACTACACATGCAGAATATATATATATATATATGTATATGTATATATATGTATATATATATATATATGCATTTATATATGTATCTATATATATATATATATCTAGAGATATATATATATATATATATATATATATATATATATATATAT